AGCGCAGCAGCAGCTACTTACTATTGTTGGCCACTGAGCAGGTAGCCACAGGTTAAAGACCCCCCGCGGAGTTTTCTTGTAAACAAACAAAATTAAGGGGTTAAAAGTCAGAGTTTCCCACCAGGACAGTCTGGGTTATGAGCTTGCAGTCTTTTTCTTATGCTACTTTGTGTGTTACTGTTATCAATCAGCAGAATACAGCATGAAACTGGTCGAAGGACGGCGCATTGTGTTGTCTGCACCGTAACATGATGATTGCCTTAGCTGCTGCCCAGTTATGATAAAGTCCTGTTTGTACATTTTTTAAATACAGATTAAGCAATCAAGACATTCATTCATGATTTTGGTACCAGGAAAATGAGCAAAGTTCCCATCTTTAGTGTAGAGAAATCCAAGCCTCAGGTAAAGTTATTTCTACTTTCATAGTGTCACTTTAACCTGTAGTGCTTGTTTAAAGTTGACATGATTGATTTAGGTGTCTCGTGCAGATCTGAGGGTGATCGCCACTCACAGTAAACAGTGACCTTTTGATTTGGCTACCTAAACATTTGCAAAGAATCTCAAGGCCTTCCAGAGAAAGAGACAGGGTGAGGTGAAGATTAGAATCACCCTAAGCATTTATGCAAACTTCTATCGAAAAGTACACACGAGCAGTTTCGCCTTACACAATCTATCTTACCAAAGAAACAGAACAAAAAAAACATAGCCTATGAGTAAATACAGCTGACACACACTCAAGACAAGGACACACTTGTGGCAGAAGAAGCAAACATCCCTAGAGATGCGCTGCGATCTCCCAGGTGGCGATGCGTGTGTTCTCTTCTGCTCTATATTTTGCTCGAAGGTCAAGGCTCGGGAACAGTGGGGATATTTACAAGTATGCAGTAAGTATGCTGCAAGTACGCAAGACCACATGCACAGAGCTTGGGAACTCATGTAGACTTTCTTCACGTATATTTTGTTTCACGCATGAAAAGAAAAAAAAATCTCATCGTGACTGAGTAGCTGACCTTCTTCAGTAGTCAGCGTGCACACAAATCCCCTGCGAGCCTTGTGATCAGTGTGAAGTGCTGAAACCTGATGTGAGTGGCTGTTTCTGGATCAACAGGGAAGTTAAGCAGACGCAGATCAGAGAGATTCAGCAGGGCGCCCTCTCCAGCCTCCAGCACCTAATGGAACTGTAAGTGCGCGCCTGTCGATTATGTTTGTTCTTCGATGCGGAGCATAATGTGCTGAGGAGGTCAAAACACACGAGATATGGATCATCCAAACAGACGGGGAATAATTCAGTGGCATTCCTGGTAACACAGCCAGGAATGCCACTGTGTTCATTCAATAAAACAGTTGATCCCCATATTGGGGGATCAATCATCTTGGTCCACATTCATATTTAACAAGAGCTGGAGTTATAGATATTGATTTTGTACTCATGTGACAATTTGTACACGGTGCCAATTAGGTTATCGCCTTGCTTTCTATATAAATATATTTCTACAATAAACTTTTATAATTAGCAAACAGTGATTTCAAATTAAATTGTTCTTTTTTTCTGCTGCTATGAATCATTTTAATTAGTAGTGATTAAAATATTGATCAAGCAAGGATCAGTTGTTCAGCTTCAAAAGTGAAAATAGTCGCAGGTGCTGACTCTTACATGTTAAAGTGTAAAAGGAAGCAATCACAGGCTAAAAAATAGGCAAATGTTTGATAATAGATTGAACTTTTTAGTGGCCTCTGTTGTGATTTTCATGATTCATCTTCAGTGTTTATTTAAGAGACTTATTGATTTTAAAACCATGGGAATTGCAAATAGAAACTGTGTTTTGCACATATATTTAACCAGGGTGTGTCCTACACCCAAAGTTTGTTTTTATTTTTTAATAACTTTACAGGAAAAATCTGAGGATTCTGTCTGATTTAAGACATCGATTACAAAAAACCCCTCCTATAATAACTTTTATATTCTTTACTTTTTCTTTTACTCGTCATTACTGCCAACTACAGGACCATATCCGAGAACGACATGCTGGAGAGTATCGGTGCTTTTGCCTTTTCTGGCCTCCCTAAGCTCACCAAAATGTGAGTATACTGATTACTAAAAGCCGCTGACTGCATAAAGCAGATTTTATCCTACATGTTTGTGTTTAGTCTTTGTAATGGAACATGAAGAGCTCCGGCCTCTGAGGAAGATCACCCAAATAGTTGAGAAGTTAAGCATCCGAGGGGTGGCGGAGACAAAAAAAAGACTCCAAAGAATGAGTGTGAATGAATAATAGACCACATGATTTTTTTAAAATATATTTCATATCGTTTCCCTCAGTTTAATATCTAAAAATGCTGCTCTGAGGAATATCGGGGCTTTTGCTTTCTCCGACCTCCCTGAACTCAGTGAGATGTAAGTATAACTGGCAGGATAATGGCACCTGTGAAACCCCGTAATTGCAAACCAGTCATTTATATTAATGATAATCTGACTGAAATGCGTTTCTTTCAGAATCATAACAAAGTCAAAACACCTGAGTTCCATCCACCCCGATGCATTCAGGAACATGGCAAGACTACGGTTCTTGTGAGTACTCAGTGAGAGTTCAGATTTCTACCACAGTTTGTCTCTCAAAACTGATTGTGAGTCCAAAATAGGTCACGGGTGACAGCCCTACTTCTGATGGCCCGCATGATCAAAGACATTATTTTTTAATGAGCTTGGCTCCCCGGTGTCACCCTTCATCCCCAACATGGAAAAAAAAAAGTCTTTTTTTCCACAAAATGACTTAAAGGCCATTTCATGACTGCTACTTTAATTTGTTGCAAACAAAAAAAGTATTATTTTATGTCTTTTGAAACAATCTCAAAGTAGCAGTTTATAAAGAACACTGCAGCGCTCAAATCCCTTACAGACATTCTTAACTGTTACTGTTTGTCCCAATTTGTGAAAACTGGGACACATAAACAGCAATCTGCGACGGAAAAAAATAAAGCGATTGCTTTTTTAAAGAGGGCCACCTTAGTGCATGTTTAGTTTGTTTTCAAATAGTTTACTTGGGGGTCGTGGGGATGTTATTATGCTTGTTTCCAGCTCCATATTGTTATTCCAGCTTTGCAAAATTTGTAGTTCAAAATACTCCTTATTCATCTTATGCTGCAGGGACACCGGCCCTCATGGACTGGGATTGGGGACCCCTGCTTTAGACTTAGAGCCAGACCTGTGTAAGAGGATCATAATAGGAATTCCGGCCCTCTTTAACATCACACAGAGCCAAAAGTAGAAAAAAACTGTCTGAGCAGCCTGAGGCCTGAGCTTTTGGCTCACAGGTATTACTTGACTATATGAAAGGTCCTGGGATTGAAATTGTACACCGGTTAATGGGTGATTTTAAAAGATTTTAAATTGGCTGTATTGGCGCCTACACCTGATTTAGAATATTTTAAATGGCTGATCCTGTTTCCTGATCCACTAAAGGAAACACGAGAAATCAAATCAGAAGTCACTGACTGACAATCAAAGACAAAGACCAAGGAAACACTACATATACATACACAGACACAGATTGGGGTAACAGCTGGTTTCCAGTTGGTTATGAAACAGATGAAAACAATCAAACAGTCTGATGATGGAATGGCAAACAATCACAAAAAGAGGTAAAAGTAGGAAGTAAAACCAAACATAAAACAGGATGTAAACAAGAGGCAATTAGACATGAGGGCTACGACTAAACGTGATAACAGCAACAGGAGAACACAGAAAGCAGGAGAAATTACACGCACAAAGAAACATAATAAAACCCACAAATATAGCAGGGAACGAAACACAACAAATGGCCTACATTACAAAAACACGTTGGACCTCATTGGTAAACGGTGCCTATGCACCAATCTGTGCATATACCATGAATATGAATATTTCATGCACAAATCTGTGATTCATCGTAGCCCGAACCCTGACCTTTAATCCAGGAGTTCTCAAACTTTAAAGGGTCTTCATAATGTTGACATCCAATTAGCTGGTTCAGACTTAAAATCACTTATCAACATGGAGTGACTCAGAGATATATTTAGTATAATTAGCTACCTGGCTGGCTAATAACCCAGGCTACTCAGCAGTTGTAGCTCAGCGCACCCTGAAAGGAGCAAATGTTTTCATGACAGACTGATGTGAAGTGTTGCAATTATATCAGAGTTTCTGCAGACTGAGTGAAAATGTGGGAGGAAGCAATGGATACGTTACACTTTTGTTGTTAGTAGAAAGTTTCTCCATTAGTATACATGTCGCTTTCAAGGAGCCTTTATTGTAATTCTTTAAAGTTGTCTTGAGCAAAAGTTCTCCAGGTTTTCTGAAGTTTTTCTTTAGACACTGTTTGCTTTTTTTAGTCATTTTTATTCCACCTGACCATTTTCAGAGGAATGGGTTTTTGTTTTGTTTTTTTGTTTGCTTGTTTTGTAAGTCACGTAATGCTAAAATATGAATCATAAGCATGAAAAATTCACCTAACTTGGGGGAGAAACTAGAGTTGTATTTTTAGGCAATTTGTTACTAGCTGCCACAAAAACACATAATTTGTCCCCATTTTTATTACCGAATTTTTTAAAAATGCCAAAGATATCACACAGAGCAATGAACATAAAATGGCATTTTTTGCACCAACAATGTGATTCCCAAGAATCGTCTTTAAGTTATGTTAGGGTGGCAGACACATCAGACATCAGCATGTG